TGGAAATGTGTTTTTTCACAGCAAAGTCACCCTCTGTACTTGGATTTATTGGGAGAATTTAAAGGCAAGAACATCCCAAATATTCATTTAGGTCTTTATTTTAGACCTTTAGTGTTGCCGTCTGTGAGGAAAATAAACGGGGCTCAGAGCCTCGTATTTTTAAAATCTTTTTTTTCCTTCTAATTTGTTATTCTTCTCAAAATAGCACACTGTTATTTACTCACCAATAACACACAATTATCCTTGCTTTTATTTATTGGTTTAATTCCATAATCTCGGGCTTTTTTGGCGTTCGCCAGGAACTGAATTTCAAAATAAAAATAACCGGAAACAGACGTAGGCCTATAAGGGACATTTCGAGCATCATTGCGATTGTCAACATTTTTTGAGTTTAGGATGGCCGAAGACACTACACTACCCATAATCCCCAGCTATCGTTTAGGACTACAGTCCCCGTGATTAATCTTCAAGGTCTGGGATTGGATGTTGGAGTGGCAGTGCGCCAAGGTTACGCCGAGCGTCAAACAGCTGTTTGAAATGGAACGAAACCACGCCAGACTATCCAAAACTGGAATCGAACGCCCCCCCAGAACTACACACTACACTATTGTGTTTCGCAAAATGTTCTATGGGACGTCTCTACTGAACGTTTTCCCCACAATTAGAAGTTGCCAGTATTAAACACATTGGTGTTATCAAATGTAAAACATATAATTAATAAATGGGTGAAAATCGCTGTCCATAATGCGCAGCATTAATATATAGCATTAATATATACCCACATGACAGCTCATTGATACTTTGTAATTCTACTCAACTACAATTCAGAGGTTAACCTGGTATTTTTACTCCACTACACTTATTTGAGTTACTTTGCAGATTCTGATTAATGATGTGAAATATAAACAACCCTTAAATCAGACTTTAGTTACACCTGAGTAAAATTCAGGTAAGGTGATTGTCAAGTGCCAACAATCAGGAGAGATATTTGATAGTTGGTGCTTGAGAAGACTAAACATGTATCTGCAATTGACATGAATGGAAACGAGTAATAAAGTATATTAATTACTCGTTATTCTCTACTAATAGTTAATTAAAGACTGTATATTATGGATATTTTGCACATCCCTTTCAAGATTTTCAAAGGTTTATTGACATATGATATCATATACACAACTACGGTGTAGTTATGCAATCAACAGTTTATTACAAGACATCTATCAATATGTGTGTCCCTCCACCATTAAACTGTCATATTCTGCACATTTCTTATTCTATCTATCTACATAAGAGTATAATCCATATGTATAATATCAGTTAAAATAAGTGCTTCAACATAGTTAACATTGCAGGAAAGCAATATATTAGACGTTAAGTACTTTGTCAGGCTTAATATTTATCTGTAGATAGATACCTCCAAAGTTTTTTTCTTATTTAAAAGAAGACCTTAACCTGTTATTTAATGTTTAAATAAAGGTTAATTCGTTTTTCTGTTTTGCACCTCCTCCTATTAATATCTTTGTACATTCTGCACTAAACTGTTTTATTGTAGAGATCACTTATAGTATCTTCTTGATTTTTTACATTCTATATTTATACTTTTCCCCCTATGAAAGTATGTACTCTTAATATTTTTTTAAACAAATAAAACACATAAAAACAATAATTCAATAGCGTGCTTTAACCACTAGGCGGTGCACACAAGGTACACACAGCCATAATAACTTTGTATTATTAGTGTTGGACACTTGTATGTACAACATCTGAAGATGTGTAGTTTTATTCATGCTTTCACATAATTTTACAGCATATTGCTATACTATTTCAGACTCAGTATTTACATTCTTACATTCAAAATGCAATCCAATTCAAATCAGTAATATCTTTAAAAACTACAAATCCTTTTATATAAGCTGTGCACCGTTATGGTGTAAATATAACCTATCTATGAATTATATCAAATGTAAAAGTCTGCCGAATTAGTGTTGATACTGCAAGGAGACGTATTGTGTGAAGAGAAATTGAAGATGTTGTTTAATTGTTGAAATATTTATGATCCACGTCAAGTATTCAGTTTCGGCGGCATTTCTTCAGTTTTTCCAAAGGTCTTCTCATCAGGGCTCTATAAATAAAGAACTACGGCAGATCTGTAATATACAATGCAGCCGAACCGTGTATTACAATGCCGTTATGTGATGACTTTCAAAGAGAAAAGCAAGAGCACTCGGAATTAAGTATTATTTTAAAATGTTTTCCGGATTTCATATAATATAAACACCAAATCCCAGCATGCATTGCGGCTAAAACATCCAATCAGCGTAGCTGAGGATCTTGGGTAATCGCTCGAAATGCCTACGTCTGTTTCCGGTTATTTTTATTTTGAAATTCAGTTCCTGACGGACGCCAAAAAAGCCCGAGATTATGGAATTAAACCAATACATAAAAACAAGGATAATTGTGTGTTATTGGTGAGTAAATAACAGTGTGCTATTTTGAAAAGAATAACAAATTAGAAGGAAAAAAAGATTTTAAAAATACGGGGCTCTGAGCCCCATTTATTTTCCTCACAGACGGCAACACTAAAGGTCTAAAATAAAGACTTAAATGAATATTTGGGATGTTCTTGCCTTTAGATTCTCCCAATAAGTCCAAGTACAGAGGGTGACTTTGCTGTGAAAAAACACATTTCCACCAAAAAAACGTGTACACATTCATGAAGTAATCTTCGTCATAACTAGCAAACTAAACATCATGTACATGTACTGCACAAATCATCAGAAATAAAAACTCATTACTCGCATAAAATGACATCAAAACGCATTTTAATGGCCAAATGAACCTTAAAATAGGCCTTTTCCACCGAGAATAACACGAAGGTCGGCCATTGTTGTTGATCACGTGGTCTATGAAGGTCTATGGGACGCCCTGCCCGTAGAAGCCTGACGATCAAGGGGTCCGCTGTCCGCAATGTCTATGGGACGCCCTGCCCGTAGAAGCCTGACGGGAAAGGGGTACCCTGTACGTCACATAGCGACGGGGAGGGGCCCTGACCGTCCGTCAATATGTGACGGGATGGGAGTGAGAACGTGTTGGTGTGTGTGTGTGGGTGTGTGTGTGTGTGTGTGTGTGTGTGCGCGCATGTTGACATTATTTGTTGTTTTACATTTTGTACCTTATTATATAACAGCGTTTTATTATTTACTGGTAGGCTACTCCCACTACACTACATCTCTGGGAAATGTTTGTGTGTGATCGTGAGAATTTTAACATCATCTAAACATCCTATCTTTGCATGTGTGTGTGTGTGTGTGTGTGTGTGTGTGTGTGTGTGTGTGTGTGTGTGTGTGTGTGTGTGTGTGTGTGTGTGTGTGTGTGTGTGTGTGTGTGTGCCGGCGAAACTCCGCGGAGTAGCGCGGCTGAGAAAAGATAAGGCTGAGTGAGTGTGTGTGTGTCAGGAGCTCCACGGATTGCTCCATTTGGTCGTCGTTACATCACTGTGACTAGGAAGAAGAAATACATGGAAATAGAAAAATCTCCAACAAGGCGTTCTGGGGCAGCATAGACAGGTCTTTTCTGTGTTAGTATTGTACTCGCTACAAGGTTTACTTTGAGGGTTTGTGACTTTGCAGACCGTTTACATGCATAAAAAGCTACATAACACACAAGGGGACGGGTAATAACCGGAAAAGCATGTCATGGGACCTTTAATCATCCTATAACAAATTATAGGGGACTGCTGAGTGTTTAGCTGGAGCACTAAGTATGAAATACTCCTCGACCTTTGCTGTACCTGCAAGTAGAAATAGTCTAATTATACAGCAGAGGAGATCCTAATTACAGCAAGGCAAGGCAAGGCAAGGCAAGTTTATTTATATAGCACTTTTCAACACAAGGCAATTCAAAGTGCTTTACAAAAAACGAAAGACATTAAGAAAATGGCATTTAAAATCAGTCATTAAAAAGAAAAGATAATAAAATAAACATTAAAAGAAAAAATACATGGATAAAAGTTACAGTGCAGTTTAAGATGTGAATAGTTCAATTAAAAGCAGTGGCAAAAAGAAAAGTCTTTAGTCTGGATTTAAAAGTAATCAGAGTTGCAGCGGATCTGCAGGTTTCTGGGAGTTTGTTCCAGATATTTGGAGCATAATAACTGAACGCTGCTTTTCCATGTTTAGTTCTGGCTCTGGGGACAGAAAGCTGACCAGTCCCTGAAGACCTGAGAGATCTGGATGGTTCATAATTTAGCAGGAGGTCAGAAATGTATTTTGGGCCTAAACCATTCAAAGTAGGTAGCAGGTAGGCAGCAGGTAGAGACCCTGAAAAGTTGAAAGTGTCGAGGTGCAGCTTTTCAGCTTCGGATCACAGAGGGTTCGCAACGCAAGCTTTAATTTTAAATTATTGCAAAAACCTTTACAGATGACACTGCAATAAATTCAATTTAGCTGCAGGGATATGCTGTGAGTTGACCCGTGTGTGAAGACACCTAATTACCAAGTTGGATAGTAAAATATGGAAGAAGATTCTCATGAAAACACCTGCTAATCTGAGACAATCTTATTCCTTAGGAAGGAAACATAATTGAATACTTCTTCCTTTTGTTTCAGCTCAACCTCTTCCAATGGCGTGACTACAAAAATATAAATAAAAAGTCAAAAAGAAATAAAAAGCATTAAAGCAGTATAAAAAGGTTTACTTGAGGCAGAACATTTCATGTTTACATTCTGGGTCCCCAGTCACTTCCTTTCCTTAGCAGCTATAGATATCATGAACTATTGCCATCTATTGTCAGCTAAATCTTACCAAATCTAGCTGCGATAAACTTTTGCTTAACATCCTCGATGTAAGTCTGCCTGTCAGTCTCTGTGAGAAAGCCTTATTTTCCAGATGGCGGTAGAGTCTGGAATTGTCAAAATCCTATGAATGCTTTAATCCTTTTTGTATTGCTTTGAGGAGCCCTGCAGTCAGAAATCCATATGTTTTTTTTGTCCTGCTGCAAGGTGGTCCTGGCCTCTATCTGGCTCCTGGGGTTTATAATTGCGGCTGTGCCCCTAATGAATGAAGACGTCTTTGGAAACTACTATGGACGTAATGGGGTCTGCTTTCCCCTGCACTCTGACAGGCAAGAAAAACCTACTGCCAAAGGATATTCAACAGCGATTTTTCTGGGTAAATTGAAGTTTAAAATTGTGCAATTTTTCACGGAAGCTCATTATGCGTAGAATACTGATTGGTAGCAGGTTTTTTGTGTTTAGTGCTTGAAGGTATACTTCCAAAAAATCAGTAGTCTAAATTTAGGAGGATTCTTTCTGCAACCAAATCTAATAAAATATTCATTCCCAAGGATAAATCACTGATCAAATGCAGAACACACTGAGCTTTACATCTGATCAATTACTGTTGCGTATCATGGAGACTTGTAAAATAAATGTTATTATAGTGTGGTTATGTAAGGGTTTACAGCTGAATGAGCTTTTTGAAATCTTCAAAAGCATCGGATATTATTTTAGGTGTATTGTTACTCATCCGTCGTGTGTAGGAAGCATCTTACAAAAGATTGCACGTTAGATTACACAGCAAAAATTATGGCTCCATCAACAATACATGATTAGTCTGGGTTGTTATTACTCCATGTTCTCACTGTACAACACATCCTCACTCCCAGGTCGGCCTTAGTTGACGTTATGTCAAGTCCTGTGTCGGCTTTTTCCAACGCAAGGGGGGGGGGGCCTTAGCGTCCATTTTCAACGCAAGAGGGGGGCCCTTAGCGTCCATTTTCAGCTTTCCGGGATGTCCATATGCTTCTATGGACGCTCATGGAAGCACGGCATTCGTTTGTGGCTGCCCTTAAAGGCAATGTGAGCGTCCATTCTCATTGGATAACGGAGAATTGTACACCCGGAAGTAAGTATTCCCCTTACTGTCGATTGAGTTTACAGTGATATCTGCACTACTCATCGACTAAAAAACACCAGATTATCCTTGTTAATTACACAACATTGATTGGTTTAAATTGTGTGCAATGCTTTTGTATTTTTCCCGTTCGATTCGGAGAAACAAATATTTTTTCGGAGTAAAGGATGGCAGAAGACACTACACTACCCAGAATCCCCAGCTATCGTTTGGACTACACCATGTGCTCTGTTTGACGTCACGTGATCTTCACATTTCTCCCTGCAGAAAAAAAAACATGGCCGAACTTCGTTTTATTCTCGGTGTAAAATGCCTATTTTAAAGTTAGTTTGGCCATTAAAATGCGTTTTGATGTCATTTGATGCGAGAAATATGAGTTGTTATTTCAGATTATGTGTGCAGTGGATGTACATGATCTTTAGTTTGCTAGTTATTACGAAGATTACTTCAGGAAGTTTTCATTGTTACCAAGGTGGTTGCTAGGGACGCTGCTATCGATATTAATTCTGTTATGTTGTGTAACTGTTTAATGGTGTTATCTTTATTGCTACCCCCTTCCCCGTCAATGTATAGTGTTGGTCCACAGCGCAAACGTATTAGTTTAACAAACTCCGCATCTAAAGATACGTTATTTTCCCCTGTGCAATTCCAGTCTCACATCTCAGAGCACATCGTCATTAACAAATACCGGAAACAGACCGAAAACATTTTTTTAAAATAAAATAATACTTTATTCCGAGTGTGCTTGCTTTTCTCTTTGAAAGTCATCACATAACGGCATTGTAATACACGGTTCGGCTGCATTAAATATTACATATCTGCCGTAGTTCTGTATTTATAGAGCCCTGATGAGAAGACTTCTAGACAAACATGAGGAACTGAAAACGTGACGTGGATCATAAATATATCAGCAGTTAAACAACATCTTACATTTCTTTTCAAACAATACGTCTCGTTGCAGTATCAACACTAATTCGGCTGACTTTTATATTTGATCCAATTGGTAGATAGGCTGTATTTACACCATAAAGGTGCACAGCTGATATAAAGGGACACCTAGTGGTTAAAGCATGTTATTGAATTTCATTATTTTTATTATTAGATATTAATAGGATCCCTATAAAGTATATTCATTACTCGTTATTCTCTACTAATAGTTAATTAAAGACTGTATATAATGACTATTTTGCACATCCCTTTCAAGATTTCAAGATTTTCTAAGGTTTATTGACATATCATATAGGCCTACACAACTATGGTGTAGTTCTGCATTGAATGAAAAACTTGGGTCGCAGGTTCCTCAATAGTGCATTACAAGACATCTATCAATATTTGTGCATACCTCCAGCAATGTTGACTATGTTGAAGCACTTATTTTAACTGATATTATACATAATGTATTATACTCTTATAAGATGTATGTAGATATTTCATCTCCGGCCTTGTCAGGTATTGAACAATCAATAAATAAAGAACACAGAATTGTTGAATATAAAACACAGAATTTGTGTGATTATACTAAATGATTTACAAATGAACACCACTGCATATTTAACTGTTACACATGCTGATGTAACGCAAATGTTCCAACTTGGGATCAATAAAGTATATCTTATCTTAAGCTGATCGATGGCTACTGCCATATTTGCAAAATGTGCCTCTGAACCTTGACAAGTGCATGTTTCAGGCTTATCAATTAATGTAATGTAATGTAATGTTATCAATTAACAACAGGGGTCACAAACATAAGACCAGCTGTTAAATAAAGCTCTTCTGACCTTAGCTGGCATGTGTGTATATATATTAATGCTGCCCATTATGGGCACAAGCAATTTTCACCCATTTATTAATTATATGTTTTAAATGTGAGTGTTTCCTATCCCCTAAACCTCCAGGGATGTACACAGTTTAATACTGGCAACTTCTTATTATGGGAAATACGAAAACGTCTTTTAAAACTACAACTCCCAGTAGAGACGTGCCATAGATAGAGAACATGTTGCGAAACAGAATAGCCAGCATGTGTAGTTCTGGGGACGGGGTGGGGGAGGGGGGGGGACGCGGTGGTCCCGTTCAAATCCAGTTTTGGACATTCTGCCGTTCGAGGCTCGGCGTAACCCTCGGAGCACACTCTCCAATCACAGAGCTTGAGGACTATCACGGGGTTTGTCAAACAGAGCACATGGTGTAGTCCAAACGATAGCTGGGGATTCTGGGTATAGTGTCTGCCATCCTTTACTCCGAAAAAATATTTGTTTCTCCGAATCGAAGGGGAAAAATACAAAAGCATTGCACACAATTTAAACCAATCAATGTTGTGTAATTAACAAGGATAATCTGGTGTGTTTTAGTCGATGAGTAGTGCAGATATCACTGTAAAATCAATCGACAGTAAGGGGAATACTTACTTCCGGGTGTACAATTCTCCGTTATCCAATGAGAATGGACGCTCACATTGCCTTTAAGGGCAGCCGACACTAACGAATGCCGTGCTTCCATGAGCGTCCATAGAAGCATATGGATATCCCGGAAAGCTGAAAATGGACGCTAAGGCCCCCCCCTTGCGTTGGAAAAAGCCGACACAGGACTTGACATAACGTCAACATAGGCCGACCTGGGAGTGAGGATGTGTTGCACTGTAGGGCTATGGAAATCTGGCAATGGTGATGCATACATTACTGAGGGTATTCTCTATTTAAGGTTGCCAGCATCACTGGACCCTGTGAATTAATTCATGAAGAGATATTCATTATTAGCTTCTTGTTAAGATTTGTGGAAAAGGTAGGACCCAGATGCAGACTACAAAAAAGGAAAAAAGGTCTAGAAACAAAAGCGAGCTTTTTACATTACATTACATTACATTACATTGCATTTAGCTGACGCTTTTGTCCAAAGCGACTTACAATAAGTACATTCGACCAGGAAGACACAACCTTGAAGAAAACAGAATCATATAAGTATATCAGGTTTCATAGAGCCAAACATTTCAAGTGCTACTCAACTGGCTTTAGGTAATCCAGTCCTTTATTGGTATAAAAGTGCTTCGTTAATCGTTCTAACGCTCGAAGTGGAGTCGAAAGAGATGAGTTTTCAGTTTGCGCCGGAAGATGTGCAAGCTATCTGCCGTCCTGATGTCAATGGGGAGCTCATTCCACCATCTTGGAGCCAGGATAGCAAACCCACGTGTTTTCGCCGATGGGAACTTGGGTCCCCCTCGCAGCGAGGGCGCAACGAGTCGTTTGGCTGATGCAGAGCGTAGTGCACGCGCTGGGGTGTACGGTTTAACCATGTCCTGGATGTAGGAAGGGCCAGATCCATTCGCAGCACGGTAAGCAAGTACCAGTGTCTTGAAGTGGATTCTAGCAGTTACCGGAAGCCAGTGAAGGGAGCGGAGGAGCGGAGTGGTGTGGGAGAATTTAGGAAGGTTGAAAACCAGACGGGCCGCTGCATTCTGGATGAGCTGCAGAGGTCGGATAGCACATGCAGGTAGACCAGCCAGGAGGGAGTTGCAGTAGTCTAGGCGTGAGATGACGAGAGCCTGGACCAGAACCTGAGTCGCTTTCTGAGTCAGCTGGGGACGTATCTTCCTGATGTTGTAAAGCGTGTATCTGCAGCAGCGGGTTGTAGCAGCGATGTTTGCAGTGAAGGACAGGTTGTTATCTAGGGTCACACCCAGATTCCTTGCAGTCTGAGTCGGGGAAACAACTGAGGTGCCGATGTTGATTGTCAGGTCAAGAGTTGGACAATCTTTTCCCGGGAGGAAGAGCAGCTCAGTCTTGTCAAGGTTGAGCTTGAGGTGGTGAGCAGACATCCACTGAGAGATGTCAGCTAGACAAGCAGAGATGCGTGCGACGACCTGGGTCTCTGAGCGGGGAAAGGACAGAATTAATTGGGTGTCGTCAGCGTAGCAGTGGTAAGAAAAACCATGCGGGCTAATGACTGATCCGAGCGAGTTTGTGTACAAGGAGAAGAGGAGGGGACCAAGAACAGAGCCCTGAGGGACCCCCGTAGCTTTATTTAAAAGCTGATGAACAAAAACATGGCATGAATCGAAACGGTAGCACAAGGAAACAACAACACAAGAAATGACCGTGGGCCCTTCTCACTTCGGTTAAATGGAATCCTTGCGTCCCTCACTTGCGTCGTTTCCCTGTGACTAGTCCCTCCCACCAGGGAAGCATGGAGAGACGCAAGGAAACCACGAGAAGCAGGGAAATTAGTTTTAAGAGCAATGGGACGTACTTTCCTCCGGAGCG